CTTTTTCCTACAAAAATGATCGTTTGATATTGATTCCAAGGCAAGTTGACAACTGTAGTTCATCAAGAGACGTTAGATTGTAAGGAATTTTTTCCACCAAAGCTAGCTTTATGAAGCTAGAACATACATAGATGTGATATTGATTTGTAGACCTCTACCAAAAGCAAATTCAGGTTCAACTGATGAACGCTTAAAGAGCTATCAGTTTAAATAATTTTTCAAAGCTAAAAGCATCATAAATTTATAAATAGGTTTATTTATTTGAGTAGTTGATATTTTGTTAATTTCTAGAACTTTGATTTGGTTTTGTATTGTTTATATTGGATGTGCGCGTTGTGTGCCTCACAACTAGGCCCTCCATGTCCGCCATTACACTTTAACATTTGAAACGCATATGTGTCTCAGCCCATGCAGAAACGCATGCCCATGCAGAAACGCATATGACATTTTTTGAAAAACATTTCAGCTATTTAAGCTTTGTAAACGCGTTAAAATACAACAGTGGTGGCGGCAGCTGTAGCAGAGTGGGAGGGCAATTGGCGTGACCCAGGAGACTAGGCCTTTACTGTCTCATTTTAATTATTTTTTATGCCAGGTGCATTTTCATAGACAAATCTTGAAAAATATGACCTGTCCCTACCCAGTGAATTTTTCATCAATTTTAGGAAAATCTCTGGACAATGTTATGCAAGAGGGGAGGGGGGATGTCAAGAATGTATCAAACAACGATCCATTATAGGAGAAATTTGTTTAGCCGACCGCCATGTTTATTTTAAAGCAATTGGTACTTAGCTATTACCCGGACTGTGATATAGGCCCCAGAATAATTAAGCTTTCGGCATTCCATGTTATACACCTTGCAACAAGAAAGACAGGAGATTGCAGAGCCTAAACACGTAAATCGCGGGAATGGTGAAGTTTGAAGCTGAATTTCAAGAGAATTGCAGGTTTTTACAGTTGACAACAAGAAGATTCATAATCAGCACGAAAAAACACACAGGAAAATGCTTATTAAGCGTAGTGCCAGAATGGGGGCAACGAGACCAAATAAAAATCTGACACAGCTTACGGCCAAGCCATTAACCTTTATTTTTGTTTTTATCAACTTGATCCGGCCACGTGGCTACATTGGCTTCAGTTTGATTACTGGGCGGGGAGTGTAGTTTACGACGCAAAAAAGGCGGACTCGTAGGTTCCATATACTGTCATTCCCAGTCAAACCTAACACAACGTTTACTATCAACAGTGTACTATTCACCTGTAAATACCATCTCCACCCCCTAAAACTATATTTTAAATTATTACAATGATATTGACAACAAACCAGTGAAACCGAAGTGAAATTACCCAGGTCTATATACAAACTCACACAAAATGTTGATATACAACTGCGTAGTGTCGAGATTAACCAGCGAACACGAAGCGATATACAGTATTTTATCCAGCATTAATAACACCAAACAACGATATCTAGAACTAAGTTTTCCCAACACATTTGTTTTTTTAAGGTAATGCATCTTAAATGTTTTCTGGGGAAAGAAAATGCAAAACTCACCAAGGTACTGATTTTATAGCACTTTGGGGGAATTCCCGAGGACCATTTTCTTAAGTGGGTTGTCCGGTCCCTATATTCTCCCCTTTGATACGCCACGGATATCAGTGACACGTTGCGAAGCTTCAAAATCGTGCGGCCAGAATTCTTACCGCGATTCGTTTTGATCAGTCAGCTGCGCCATTCATTTGTACCGTAGGATGAAATATTGTAAGGGAATTAATTGATTTTGAAACATAAAATTGTTTTTAAATCTCAAGTTTTTATGGGCCGTCCTATATGGACAATTGTTGCACCAAATGTTATCAGAAAGTTTTTTTGCTGAAACCAAAGTGGCACTGAGATCCGTTGCATTGTTAATTACTCTGTTAGTTTTGATATGAAAAACATTACAGCATTTCCAATGTTTTTAGTTAAAGCTTTTCGCATGTCCTTCATGCAAAGTCCGTATATTATTGGATCAAGCAATGCATTTGACATAGCTGCAATCAAAGCAAATTTTCTTGCAGATGGACTGATTAAGGTTTCGTCAATATTATCTAGCAAAGTAGTGATGCCTAAAGGAAGCATACACATTATGTATGCTACGGCAACAGCACCAGCAGTGGTAGCAACTTTGAATTGCTTTTTCCTGAGATCCGTTGAATCAGCTTTTTCACCATTTGCTGCTCTCTTTGGTGGAATTATCTTAGATAGCTGCATTTTGCTGATCGTAAACAATTTTATTTGAACTGCAGATATGATTATTGAAGTCCCAAAGATGCATAAGGTAATTATTATTTTGAAACATTCTGCTTTACCGGCCATCGAACGGTATTTGTCAAAAATCAGCGCATGTGAAGAATATATCCCACCTGATATTCCGACTATCCAGAAAACAGCTATAGCGGCATATGTTTTTCGTTTTGTCACCCATTCTTCTAAGCGAAAACTATACACACAAGCAATGTAACGCTCAACTGATAATGCTATTATTGAAAAGCTCGAAACGCAAACTGATAACGTCCCAAAAAACATGTTGCTTCCCCTGATAAAGTTGCAGGTGATGGAGGTCGTCGGTGAATGGGTAGCTGTTAAAGCTATCTGAGCTACGATAGCAGTAATGATGTGCAGCCCATCTGCTATTGAGAGGCAGAAGACAATCTTGTGTCTTGGCAAGGAAGGCCTGATGTCCTTCACGAGAATCTTCATTATCAGAAGATTAAATGGGATGGCAGCGACGAAAACAAATTGCACATTAGTGGCATACTTCGGGGTGCAATATGAATCGTTGTTAATCATGTTGTTTGTGAAACAGAAATATTACTGCAAAACTGAATAGTTGTTGGAATGGCGAAACTAGTTTGATACCCAACTACGGAGAAATGAAAATTACTGTAGAGGGAACAAACATTTTTCAAGGATTGTGTAATCTACGAAATCTAAACACGATAATCTGAATTGTTGTAATTTAGCTCTTTTTGATATTCTTGTTTTTATGCCATTTCATATTTTTATTTAAGACCTGTATATTAAAGGATTATCAATTAACCCAGTTACTAGTTTAGAACCCATGAACTGTATGAAGTTTAATTTCCAACAGAATGACTTCAAATATCGATATTCCTGCGGCAGAGTCCAAAAGTTACTTGAACCAGCTTCTCGATAACTACTCAATCAGTAACTTGTTGAATTAGACACTTACCTTTATCCAAACTAGAAAGTCTTTCGTCTCTTGGAAGAATTTATTATCGTTTCTGGAAGGCTACGTCTCAGCACCCAACTGTTTCAGAAAACTATTTCAAAAAAGCTAAGTTCTGAACGGCAGATGTTACATTTATAAGCATATTTGCGATCTATAAAAAGCCTTCCAGTGACTTAGGCAACCCCCCTTTTTACGACCAAAGAGCATCGAATTTGACCATTATTGAAAATGTCACCTGGGGGCGGGTGAGCAACTTACAACAGAAGTTCAAAGCTGCTACACTATGAACACGAAGTGGTCAGTATACCGATTTGACGGTTCAATGTGAAATACATTGTCTTCGCACCAGATTTTTAGCTACGAAGGAACTAACGGACTATAGGTACTGATGAATACATTTGAATGGAGAAATTTATTGAGTATCAAAAAGTAAAAATCCTTTGCCCTCACCTAACCAGAACCCTCCCTATAAACATCGCTAAATATATTTTTGGTTCCCGAAGGCAAAATACTATTACAATTTAAGTATCGTTTGGAGCCTTGTCTAAGGAGCAAAGGTTTAATTTGACCCTCGATGTTGTTACAAAACTGATGAGAAATGAATGGGTACTTAAATCTCAACACCTGCTACATGTTTGAAAATTACCTAAATATCAGAAATTTTAAAGTTCAACCCACAGCAGCATAGTCAGCAGCATAGTTCTCGAAAATTTTCAAAAGAATGGCGTAAGACACGTTTTGATCTTTTTTCGTCTTGCACTCTTATTTTGTAAGATTTTATAAGGATTGTTCTTAATTTATTCTTAAATTATTAGGGTGTAAGTAGGGCAATCGCTAGCTTTTCCGCTCTAGGGAGGTGTTCAGGCCTCGTTTCTCAACAAAGTGAGTAAGACATCTTTTTGGCGACAAGTTTGAAAATGCACCGAAAAAGGAACCCCTAGACGGCAGAAAACTCATCGTTTTTGAGACAAAACATTGTTCAAAATTACGTTTTACAGTTGCTCACCCTCAGCTTGTTCTTAATTTGTTCTTAACTTTTGACCAGTTTTGAGGCCAAGGTGTTAGTCAAGGTGTTATGATGGTTTGACTCTTTGCAAAGAAATAATGTAAGCCGCCCTTGTTCGTAAGGTCCCCTTGTTTGTAAGCTCCCCTTGTTTGTAAGCCCCTTTGTTTGTATGCCCCCTTGTTTGTAAGCCCCCTCGTTTGTATGCCCCCTTGTTTGTATGACGTAGCAAAGTGTGCCAGGCCGCGGCTTATATTCGAATTAATACGGTACTACGCGCTCTCTTATAAATTCACAAGGTGAAGAACGCCAGAAATCTAGTGGGACATTAGGTATGCAAGAACATGAAGCCCTTCCTGGCCAAAGTCATTTCGTAACGTTGACCATATTGTCCATACAGTAAAATTCAAACTCGAAGAAAAGCCATTCCTTGTTGCTATGAAGGAGGTTAGTTTCCTTCATCTAGCCCAGCACCTAGGACTACAAGAATAAAATTCTTTGTCGTACAAATTACTAGCATAGCACGGTCATCAGGCAAGCGTAAAAGAACTGCCCCTCTGTGATGCTGGAGAAATTATAAGCTTGCAATTTTCATCTTGGCTATAAGACTTAGAAAATAAATTATATTATCTTATATTAAATCTTATATTATTTTAGCTGTTGTATATTTCATCTTGGCTATAGGGAACTACAATGGAATTTCAAAACACCGTGTAAATGAATTAGATTTAATTGTTTACAACATTCTGCTTTCTGTATAGGACTTTCAACCTGTCCTTTTTGGGTCGAAGATTGCAAACCCTGAAACCTCATACAGCTCACTTTGCTTGCAAATTTCGGCAGCAGAAGTTATGGAGAGTTACAAAAATCAAGATGTGAGTACACAAATTTTGACTACCACTTGGCAAGTAAATGCAACAACTATTCTGATAAAAATAATCAGGTCTTTCTCTACATCGCTATGCCTTACCAGGGTCCTTGGCGCTCAATTGGCAGTTTTCTTACGTATCATGAATATGGTAAATGCTGTAAGAGTTACCCTTGCGTCAGGCAGTTTTCTCTGTATCCAGCGGGGTAGAACAGTCGAAGGGCAATTCACTCATGCAACCGGACCTGCTACAAGTCTCTCTCTTTCCATTAAAGAAAGTGAAAAAAGAAAAAATGGGAGGGAACGAACGACGAAAAACTCTCTCCTTTCCTTCCATTTTTTCTTTTTTTCCTTTTCTATATTTTTCAGATTACTAAATGGATAGAGAGAGACTTGTAGCAAGTCCATCATGCAACTAGCGATCGAGATTTCTACGAAAACAAAAGGATTTCTAGGGATTTTCAAATAAAACAATAGGAATTCCATCAAAGTTGTACGGGATTTGCAGGAAGTGATTTGCCTCTCGGGATCAGTAGTAGCATCAGAAGTATTTTGATGCATAAGCTAACCAATCTGACTTTAAGCCTAAAATGGTTAGTAAGACAGCTAAGTCCGGGTGAGAGTCTACTTAATGATATAAGAGACCCTTCATGCTCTAACAAAAAACTGGATCCGTCTTCCAAAGGGGCTTTGTGCTTCTAGTTTTCTAATGCCTCTCCCAGCTAATCTCCTGATATTTCCTTTGTTTGGGGGTCGCGGATAGCCATCCCCGAGCGTCGTGTTGCCGGATTCTTTACCATATACTTGTACCTCAGATCTTTGAGACTCCGCTTTAACCTCTTTACAGGAAGATGCCGTTCATTACTTTTTGGTTGACTGTCGCCCGGCTGATCAGTACAACAACGGCCATCTGCCAACTGCATTTCATTTGGATGCCAATCTGGTATGTCTTTTTATTTTTTTTGATAATTAATTTTATGTTGGGGCAAATAGCCTGCGCCGCCGAAAAGTTTTCAGAGGTCCTGGAGTATAACAGAATGACAAGGCCCCCTGCGAACGAAGCTAGCAGAATATTTTTGCAACCACGCCCTTTAGATTAGCTAAAAAATACAGTTCAAAAATTTCTTGCTATCATTTTCTTGCAATCCTTTAAAACGTTTTACTATTTTTTAGGCATGCTTTTGTTATGTTTTGTTAATTTAGTTCTTAATATGAAATTCATTACTTTCAAAGTCACCCTAGATCTTGTACCCATAATACAACAACCTGTTTTGCCAAACTCTGAAAAAGTAGGTTCTTAAACGCGGGTTTTCTCTGTACCTGAAATATGTCATTAAAGTCCGTAGATGTTATTTCACAAACGGTCATTTCATTATTTATTTGAGCAATCAGGTTAAAATTTACGTGTCAGCTGAAGCTGATATGGACCTGCTGTCATTGATTAGTAGTCATGTATTCCTGTTGCCTCGTGATACCGCCATTAAGCTTATTGAAATGAAAACAATGGTCATGTTTAAATGTAATGTGTCCATATAAAAGGACTGCGTATATCCAACTTGTCAAGCCACCCATCAAAATAACAATTTGCGATTGGTTAGTGTTCTTGCAATGCAAAACTGCTCACATGAAAAGCTGACCTCGCAGCAGGATGAATAAACAGAACGACCGTTATGACTGGGACGATGACATAAAAAATCACATATTTCTAAAAACCCCTGCAGAGTCGCTTGCTATAGCTGGACACATTACCTTTAAATGTGTGAATGAAGAAAAGGCCACTGTAGCAGGCTGCTCGACGGTCTCCAAGGAGTTCTTGCGGCGAAAAGTCGATAAAAATGTAGCAAATATGAAACACCGCAATACGCCGAGAGTAAACAACAATAAAAACACGAAAATCAGTAAAGGCTAATATTTCGCCCGGCATACGGGGCTTCATCAGAGCAAAAGTTAACGGGCCAAAAATTTTTTACATATTCAAAAAAGGCGATGGTGGTGTCGGATTGGCTGATGTGAAATGGTGTGAATGCAGCGCAGTGGTAGAGGAGGGAAGGGTGGCGAATGAGAGAGGGTGGCAGGTGGTGGTGGAATGAAGACGTAATGGGGATGAAGTACTGTATATGACCGTTAACCTTATAGCAACAATATCATTATTTCATATTACAGTACATCATGACATAGCTGAAGATTCACGATGATTCACCTTAAAGGACAATTGACACGCTTTTGGCGCCAAATTTTTTTCTTCTTTTAACTAAAAGTAAAATGCTGTATGAGAGTGTTGTTGAAATATTTTTCTATTCGGATTTCATTTTCCTACTTAAAAACCCTTTTCAAATTATGGCGGGAAATGAATCACGTGACACCGTGACGTAGATTGTGATAATTTGTTATTGCTGCTACTGGTATACAGTGCAATATTAACGTTTACTGCACGCTTCTAAACGAATTCAGTTCGTCTGGACCTGTCGCGTCGTGTTTCGTAAACTCTCTATTAATTACAGGAAAATTCCGAGTTATCACAATGTACGTCATAGGGTCACGTGATAAAAAGCAAAATCGCGTCCCCTGCGCCCCCTGATTAGAATTTTTTGTTCTAAACCAGGAAAAACTTACTTTTAAATGATGATCTACAAGTTAATGAAAAGAAAAGATAGGGTGAAAAGTGTGTCACTTGTCCTTTAAAAAATGATGAAACACAAACTGTGGGCGTGGGAATCAAACTAGGAATTATAGCCCCCTTAATAATCCCTGTACTCTCGAAAGCATTCCAGTTTTTCCGCGAAACAGTTACCCTCCCTTCAGTTCAAATGAACTCACTTTTGACAGAACATTCCTGATCCATTGTTCGTCGGGAAGCGTCGGGAAAGTCAAATTATTTTGACTTTTGCGATGATCGGGGATGATCGCCGATGGTTCCCGATGACCCGGTTTTCATATGTCATAAACCATCGCAGACTGTCATAGACCATCGGGAAGCTGCATCGGGGATCATCGACGACGAATTACGATATATGAAAACCAGCCTTAAAGCCGAGGTTATGGTAACAAATTTCAAAAATTTCTAAAATAGATTGGCTAGACTGCAGTTTTTTGTTTCACTTTTTTGCGACCCACTTTTTTGTTTCCTGGCCGGAAGTTGAATTGAATAGCTACTACCTAGCAACGATGATGCGAGCAACAGTGAGAATGAAGATTGAAGAAGAAGACATTCGTTCATAACTGGATATGGAGTAAAATGAGTAAATTTATGATTCGACCAGGAAACAAAAAGTTGGTCGCTAAAGTGCAGTCATCTCAATAGATTTTTGTGACGTCATCTCTTGTCAACTCTGTACTTGTGTACCAGAAGCGTAGTGGGGGTGGGGGAATGCAAGAGCCCCAATAGCAAAAAATATCATTGAAAAGGGCGTTTTCTAGTTTTCCAAAGGGTGTGGACCCCCATTTTTCCCTCACTCAGCTTACCTTTGATCACCTTCGATATGGCCAAGAGTTGCGACTTTTTGTTGCATTGTAGTATAAATTAAAAGTAAGAAGAACTTTATTTTTCCCCCTCTCCCTCGAGTTCTATATGTTTTAAAAGTTGCGGAACAATGTTTAGCAAAAGATGGTATCCAAGTTACCACACTTTGTTAATATGTCAGGTTGGCCGAGCGGTCTAAGGCGCCAGACTCAAGAGAAATCTTCCTCAGAGTTTGAGGATTCTGGTCCACGATTGTGGGCGTGGGTTCGAATCCCACACCTGACACACTTTTTCTTTTTCCTCCACATCAACTTTCGTTTTACTTCTCTTATAATCCATGACTTCACTTATGCTAAATCATATTTCTAATATAAAATATAAAACTGTATCAATAAAAAACAATCTGAAATCGATGTTATTGCTATCTCTTATAAATGACTTGATAAGAAAATCTAAAGAAAAGATTTAGTAAGAAAACTAAGTACCTAATATATCAATGACAATTTGATATAGACATCGTAAACAAAACAATATAAATGATACATTTTAACAATAAAAGAATTTACACTTATTTTTAACCAATGTTTAGCCATGAATAACTTATAATAACCTTGTCTCTCAGATAAAAAACTAAATTATCATTATACGAAAATGTCCGATAGTTGACTGAAGATCATGCATCCAATCCTTATAGACCAGGCGGAGGGACCTATTCAAAAGTTAGTCCCATCAAAAGATGTATTAAACTTTTTAGATGTCTATTCAGGGATAAAAATTTTAAGATTATGCAACTTCCTTTGATACCTAATCATCTTTAATACCTTTAAGATGATATAGTACACACTCTTTTATAAGAATACCTAATTTTTGCCGAGCCTCAATATTCTTAAAAAAATTCGATTTTGAGCCTAAGATTATTCTTAAATTATTCTTTCCCGACACAAGGTGCAAATTCGCCTTCAGATCAAAGTAAAAATTCTAATCTTTTTGGTGTGTTGCTTCATCATAAACTTAAAAAATAACAGAACAGAACAATAAATGTGGCATTTCAATACAAAATTTAGTCACTGAGTCACACTAAAGAGTTGATAACTCGCAGGGCAGATGATTGTTTTTCAAAATATGTACTTAGCGTGAAAGTGACAGTTGCTTTGCTTTGTGAGGAAACTGGAAACTTAGAAGAAAAATTCAAGTTGAAGCGATAGCCTGCAGCCTGGCATTATCCTTAAATTGTTCTTAAATTTAAGCGATTTTCAACCTCAATATTCTTACAGACTATATTCTTGTAACAAAGTGTGTAAGATGTACATTAACCGCAAAAATTTCGTTATGGCAAAAGTTCGGACAAATATTGTGACGAAATTTTCTTTGACAAAATTTTAAATGAGACGAAATTTGATCGTGACGAAATTTTTTGCTTTCAATAATTTCGATCTTTAGCAAGTAAAAGACTGTTAAATGAGGTCAAAAAGCAAATTTATGTTATGTATTCAATGTAAATTGCGTCATTATCTTCATTTACGTCGTTTAATAATCATCCTCGTCGTCGGTATCCTAATCATCATCATCATTGTCGGTTCTTGTTGGGGAGACGAGCGAGCGAAAATTTTCAAATGAGTGAGGCAGCCCTCCGTCCTGGATTCAGAGAGCATGCGTAATAATACTGTTCTGTGCGCATGCTCTTTGACTCCATGACGGAGGGTTGCCTCACTTTTTAAAAAACTTTCTCTTGCTCGTCTCCCCAACAAGTTCTTAAACTGCATTCATTTTCACTATCATTCGATAAAAAAAGCTCTAACTGCCTTTTGTCGCTGATTTCAAAAGATTCTACAGCTGTCTTTTTATAGTTCAACTGTACTATTTCTTTCATTATTTTAAGGTTTTTGAGCTTTTCGACTCACAAATTTTGAACTCTACAGGCAGCAAAATTTCTAGCCTACTTTTCTCTAATGGAGAACACTTTCTGATTCTTATATTCATACTTTAACTTTTGATTATACTCTATTTATAAACTTTTATAACACATTGATGGAGATTGGAGACTCTTTAGTTCTAAAAGCATCTCTTTTGATTTGCCTTCACATACACTGAGAAATTATAACAGTTCTTTTTCATTTTCCTGGAATGCTGTTCTGTATGAAAAAGCTGCATAGAGTCGGTTTCTGTGGGATTGAATATTAGACAAACTGTGTAGTTAATAATCTTAGTGAATTGGTAGTATGTTGCTATCTTTGCTGTAGTAAAAATCCGAGACGGAAGTCACTCCCGATGAAATTCTGAAAAGTTGTCTGAATTTTTCCTCGACGAAGTTTATCCGCCGAAAATTTTTATGACGAAATTTTGGTCCAATTTTGGATAGAGTTATAAAACTCCCTTATTTTTCTGCCATGTAGATGTGTTTTGTCGGTGAATTTGGAAGCTTGTCACCAAAGTAATGATTGCTCATTCATTTTTGTCCCGACCACTCCTTTTGAGCACAATATTTAGGGATTGTGCTGCTTACACCCCCTAATAATTTAAGAACAAATTAACAACAATCCAGCCTCAAAGTTTTGGAAATATTAAGAACAGCAATTAGGAACATTAAATTACTGGTTTTTAAAAGTAAGAATGTAGTCTCCTAAGCCAGCACTTTCTGTTTTAAAACAACAAACTTTATAAGAACACCGAGGCTCGTAGTGTCAAAAAAAAACAACGCACCAACAGGCCAATCAATATCATTTACTGACGTAATTTTGTTGATCAATGCTTATGGTTACTGATGCTTTAGTGTATATGCTTCAGGGGAACAATTTTTCTCTTTTAGATGTTGCAAGCTCCGGATGAATTCTCGACGGCGGTTCAAGCTTTGTTTTCGTCACAACAGCAAGCGATGGAAGCCAAATCGGTCGCCGGCGGTGAACACCTCTGTTTCATGGGATCTGGAAGAGAGGCTGAGGATCAATATGTTAATATGGTCATTGCCAATTTTCTTCAGGTTAGTACAGGGGTAATGCAGACTCACGCATATCGGGTAGCCCTTGCATCCCAAGTCATCAGAAAGTGACCGGCAGAGTGGAAGACTTGACTGTTCATTAGCTAACCTTGGCTGGAGGATTGTTATAATCCTAAGAAGATTCAGTTTGGGGCTAATTTTTTATCTTTATTTTGCTGACAGCTTTATAATGCAAAGAGATCTACATCTATGGTCAATTTAACACTCAATCATAACGGATAACAGGCAAGGTTCACAACTATTGATCTAAAAAGATTGTCCTGGTTCTCTAAACGATGCAAACAAATGACATAATTGCCTACAAACTTGACCTTTTCCTGACACAAAGCAGTCACATGCTGCAAAAATGCGAGTCGTTGGTTTTTTTGTCCTTTATTGAAACTTTTTGCTCAAAAAGCAAGGTTTTTGTCATCAGCATAATTTGAATTTGATTTTTTTTATTTCTTAGCGAGGCACTCACTTTGTTGGAATTGTCAGAGGTGGCTATACTGGTATGTCCTAACAGAGAGTGGTTTTATCAGTTCTAAGGAGTAAAATATGTCGCATTCCCATCTTCACTTATATTTCTTCTAATCTTTCATTCTTGAGCATTAACAGTGATGTTTTGTGATAAAATCGGGTTCCAATTTATAACTTAGTAATTCGAAACGCTGTAACCTGGATAGTGGGGAACTAAAAGAATTTTTTTTGGTTCCCCTATCTATTATGTTAGAAGTCCAATCAGAGAACTTTTGTGTACTTAACTTTTGTACTTAACTTTGTTTCTGTTAACCTTATAATAGTCTGTTTTTCCATAACGTTGTAACCTCCTCACCAGTTGTTTTCTTGAAGTTTTGTAGAGGTTTTCTATGCCTTTTTTAGCAATCCATGATATTTTAATTGATGATCTCACAAACGGATTGGCTGACCACAATCTACAAAGATGCATTGTGTGTACACCTGAAGCGATCAGTTCTGAAGACGAGGTAATTCGATTTGATATTAATTTGCCCTTGAGTTACAGTGACACCTCGAAATATTAGACAGAATAAGGCCCAAAGTATTGTACGTTGCCCAAAGTATGGGACGTTGCGGTTTTTGGCCGGGCCTAAGCGGGGGTGATGCCTAAGAGGGGGATTTGCGGCCCAAACAGAGATTGCTCTGCCAATTAAAGTGCTCGTACTTTCCCATGTCTCTTATATCCGGTATTGGTCTGTAAATGAAGTTTTCATCGTACCTAGATTCTTAGCCATAACTTATTCAAGGATTTACGTGTATTAGTGTGCGAAGTCAGTTAAGCCCATTTAACAGTTAAGTATTTGTGAGCATGAGCAATCCTCATTTGTTCCTTTTTAAAGCAGATATATGATATGTTTTTGTCAATATTCCCTTTAACGTCATTACCCCTTTAATGCTAGGAAATGTATAACCGAGAAAACGGTTCCCTGGCTAAAAATCGGCGATAGGCCTTGCGATTACACTTGAAATCTTGATTCCACTTTTTGGGGGGGGGGTGTTGGGGACGATTCCGTTCTTCTTTGGTTCGCTGAAAAAGCGAAAATGTTTGGCTCCGTTTTTAAATCGTGCTTTGTTTTCTCAAATGTGAACGGTCGCGAACGGAAGTATTCTGGTCCGACTTAAAATACTGTTGTTTTTGGCATTGCGCATGCGTAGTGTGAGGGTTCCGTTCTTATTATTCGGTGTCTTATTTTGGTTCCATTCTTTCCTCAATATCGATGCGAGGTTGAAAATGTTTCCTACCCTCAAAGAACGTAAGCAGATAGTTCCCTCCTTGTTTTACTCGAGTGTAAATGGGATCTTTGTGATCATTGTATGCATGCCAGTGCTTTTTATTCTTTAGAGCCATGAGCTGTCAAGAGGAGATCACAGCCCAACTTCTCCCAAAGTAAGTTTTTCCATCTCTTTCATATTTGATAAGAAGTTTTTTAAAATTTTAAAGGAATACGATGTACCGCTTCCTTGGCATGAATACTTTTTTACGAAACTATGCTCGAGATGAGCACCAAATTTTTAAATTTTTTTGTTGCATTAAAATCATCAGCATCAATTCTCTTCTGCATTATAGAACACTCTAGTTGAAAGGCTATCCACAACTCTGAAATCGAGGGGAGCGAACATGAAGGAGAGGCTTGGTAAACTAATGGAATCATCGGCGAGAGCACCAGAAAGGTAAATGCTGAAAATGCCAACCGTCAATAGAATTAATTTATGATAAATAAGTATCCTTGCTTTTTTGGGACTATTGTAACCTACTCACACTATACATGTTATATGCACCACTGACGCCATCACCTTCATTTATGTGCTGAACTCGTAGTAGCACCACAGGTTTTGAGAGCAATGGAATATTCTTTTTCACTTGTTGTTTTAATTTCTTGTTATCTTTCTATTACTAACATTTGTATATATCCATTCTACATTCTTTTTATCAAAAAGACATTGTAAATAAATATCCATCTCGTCAAATGATGGAAAGTTAGCTATCTTTGTTGTCCGTTGCTGCCTTCAGTGTGGACCCAGAATTGTTTGAACTAGATATTTAGGGAGAAATTCATGCATTTGATATACTAAGATAATGGTTTAGATGATTGACTTGACTCGACTTAACCCAACACGACTCTGTACTTGACTTGTCTGTACATGACTTGATTTGACCTTACTTGACTTGACTTGGTTTGATTCTATTTGACTCGACTCGACCTGACTAATCTGAACATGAAATTCGACAACCCTTATCTGGGCTTTACTTGGCTTGACTCCACTCATTTCAGCACAACTTGACTTGACTTGACTTTAATTGCTCTGACTCAAGTTGACATGAATCAATTTGACTTGGTTTCCATTGGTTTGATTTTTTCAACTTTATTCTACAAAGCTTTTACCGAGGGAAAGGTAATAAGTTCAAATTGGACTGAATGTTTACTTAAATAAATGCAAACTAATTTGATTTGAACGGGGGCACAAAAGCTGACTCGGTATCTCTTGCAGTTACCAGCTTAACATGGCTCGATCTTGAATTGACTTGACTTACTTTGATGTTGATCTATGTTATTTTTAACTGACTGGACCTTTTGAGTAAGGAATTCAATATTGAAAATATTCCTTACTGTTTTAGGCATGTCAGTGCTTCTGATCGGACTGGTAAGCGATATAGGAACGTGAATCTGGACATATTCAGCATAGGAGATGACGAAGGTAATGTCTCAACCAATGCCAGCAACATCAATGTAGCCTGGCTCAACCTTGGACAAGGCTAGCTTGTAGTCGGCTAGTCAAGTCAAATCCTTCTTTGTTTTAGCCGTATTGACTTGTGTTTGTTTTTATCTTGCTTCTGAAGGTAATTTTTAGAGCACTGAGAAGCTGTGCTTATCAATCAGTGGGTAATAATTTGGAATTAGAATCTGGTTGCAAAGACCTTCAAGTTTGTTAACAACATTAGGTTGTCAATTGAACAAGTATTTTCTTGTTTCTAGATGAGCCGATCTCAAGCGAGGATGAAGGTCGAAAAGAGGCTGTTAATGTTACCACTTGGACGAAGAGAAATGACGTAGTAGCCACGTTTCCATGTAGTGAAATCACGGAATCTGGGCACATGTACTCGAGGTTAGTTGTTCTGTGGCTTGTCGTATGACAATGAATTATTTTCTGCTCAGCTTGTATACACTGGACTTAGTGTGACCCATGGTCATATGGAATCACATTCTGTATCCACTTGATGCACTTCATCAGAGCATAGTAAGATTTGATTGATATGATTATGTAAACTGTTGTTAGGCCTTTGTTTTGCTCCTTTCATTTTGAAAAGCAGAAGAATAATCTCGAGAGCAGTTTTAGTATTTACGCCTGTGATTAAAGGAAACCATGTGAATGCAGTTCTTTTTATGGCTTTGTCACATCTTTCCTTTGCAGCTACATCCTACTTACGTTGACCAACTTGTTCATTTTACGCGAGATCATCGACAGACCTGGTTGGGCACACATATTGAGTCGCCCTCATCTGACATCGATCGTTAAAATCACATCAAAGAGGAAACACCCACAGTTGATAACATTCAAATATGGAACTAGTAACGGAGAATCATACCAGATTACTGCCACACAGAGATTCTTAATTCCTGATGCAAAAAACGCAACTAAAAAAATCAAAGAAAGGATTGTTAAGATTATCGGTGACTAGTTTTTCCAAATGTCGTTACATTCGCCTTGGTTTGGCGATGTCACGAGCACTTGAAGCGTGTTGAGAGCAAACCAAGAGAGGGCCTCAAATACAAGAAAGTAAATCGCTTTCTTTGCCCTCTGAAAATTCTGTGGCATGCCTACTGACCCCCTTTCCGGACCCTGTATTTTTCTTCGCATATTAAGCCTGATTCTGTACTAAGCAGTTAAACCCGATTATTGGCTTGATTCAATCTCTAAATTCGATCCAAGCTCTAAACGACAGTTGCAACAGAAGGGCGTTAGGCATGGGATCAGTGGGTTTAGATTAGAACCTATTTCCGTTATTTATCGCCCTTTGGATCAATGTTGGTGTCTGCTGGATTTCAATGTGTCAATCTTGACGTGCGTGATCGTAGGCAAAGTAGGATGCAAGGACTCAGAAAGAGGTTTAAGTTGTACAGTACATTATCAGGCTGTGTTTCCATTTTCCCTTTCCCAAACAATATACTCTCTGAAGTCCCTAAAAAGATGTTTTCCCGCTCGGCCCACTTACAGGGGCAATTTCCTTGCGTTTTCAAATTTTCATTGTAGCTCGTTCTAAACCTTTAGGGTTGAAGCCTTTACATTAAAGGCCAATAGTGGAAACGCGAATAGCTTTAGAAGTGATTAGTTATGAGAAGCTGCTTTGTGTCTAAAAACTAAAGAAACATCTTGTATCAGTAAAGTAACCTGCACAAAGTATAAGCCATTATGCCTCCTTTTCACCTTTTGTTTTTGAAAGAAGACTAGAATTAGCGCTTAGTTACTTGCGCTAACGATTGGTGTCAACTAAAAGGACCTGCTAATTTCTTCGATCTTGAATCCAAATTGTATTTTGTCCTTAAAATTCAAAGATAAATCTGAATTGATTTATCTATTAGCGGTAAAACCT